TGTCCCGCTCTTTTGTTGATTATAAGGGCTACTCCATTTCTTCTACGGGATTGCCCACAATAGTAGATATGATAAGAGTCCTGCTTAGGTTTTGTTTAAAAAGGGGGGGGGCTATTGTTTCCTTTATTGAGTTAACAACTCCCAGGTTCAGCCTTCTAGTCCACCGCGACTAGATAGGCGGGATATAAATTAAATAAAATAAATAAAAATAAATAAAATAAAATTTCTTTTATACTGTCATAAAACTTTGTCAGCATTCTTGCCTCTTCCACAAGTCTTGTCTTTTCATTAGTGATTTTAGTGTCTTGTGATAGTCCAGGGCTGACTTGATTTAGAGCCTATTTATTAGTCTTTCTGGGAGCCCAACGTATCCATGAAGCTCTCTTCCAACGCCCCATTTCGAAAGAGCTGATTGTTTTTTTCTCCCTTCCTCCCTTCTCTAGAATTTTATTATTTCAATGGATCAGCGAACGAGCAAACAGGATCTTAGGCTATACCAGGATTTATGTCCCTCCTTCTCCATCAGGGCTCTTTCCACATTTTCAGTTGTTTATGAAAATAAGCATCAGGTGTTTAACCTCCCCCCTTCTCTAACACCACACACCGAAGTTCAGAGGACTGTAAAAACAGCCGTTATGCATTTTCAAACAAAGCAAATCAGCAACGTGTGCTGCTTTTATACTCCCCCATGGTGCTTAAAGCACTCTCTGAGCAGTTTGCAGTTTTAATTATGCACCCCTCTCCGAGCAAGATGGATCCTCAAGTTACCAACCTCAGAAGGATGGAAATCTAAGTCAACCTTGAGCCAGCTACTTGATCCTGGGATCGAATTCAGGTTGTGAGCAGAGTCTCGACTGCAGCACTGCAGTTTAACCACTGCGCCATGAGGCTCCTTTAGAGGTATTTGATGTAATAGACGACCCAGACGTAAAACACCCACTTAAATCCTCACCCTCCAAGCACTCCCAACTGCTGTCAACTTGTTGCACAATCCATCTGAGCGGCTGTCTCCATCTGCCAGGGGTGGGACCCGCCTCCGCCTCATGGATATCACTGCCATTTTCCACAAACAGCTTCTGTATCAGAAAGAGGAACAAGGATAAGGAAGAGCAGTCCAAGACAGACTGCCCCCCCAAGAAAGAAAGAAAAACTTCTTAACTGTTAGAGCAGTAGGGCAATGAAACCAATGACCTTGATAGATGGTGAGCGCTCCAATGCCGGAGGCATGCAAGATAAGATTATTTATCCACTCTCTGTCAGATCTGCTTTGATCTGCATTCTTGCCTTGAGCAGGGGGTTAGACTGGATGGCCTTAAAGG